TGAAATTTTTTAATAGAAAAAGCTTTGGGGGGCCCCCCTTTTTAAAATTTACTGCGTTATTTGGCAACCCTTTTTCCCAACTTTTTGGACGATTTTTATTCGTCTTTAAAGGGATTGTTTTTTATTTTTCCCAAAAAAGGGATTATTAATGCAAATAAAAGCACCAATCTTATTCTAAGGGGGCAAAAATCCCTTTGGGGGAAAACAAATAAAAAAAAATGGGCTATTTATAACATTTTCATATAGGACTGCCTTTTTTGTCTTTTAGCAATAATGGGGGTTCATTTTAACAATTTTGTTTTGGTGTCGTTACACCCAAAAACCATTATTGACGTAATTCCGGGAAAATTAAAGGGGTTTACGCTTTTTTTTTCAAAACTTTATTTTTTCGTTTTTTCCATTTGGGTAAATTAGAAAATAAAATTGGGTTTTATCAGGGTCCCGGTTTAAATTAAAAACTTTTACGCCCCTGCAATATTCAAAAAAAGACCCGGGTATAAAATTTTTTCTTGAAAGGGGTAAACTTTTGACATCGGCTTCGAAATGCCCTTATCTTTATCGGTCATTTTCCCAAAAACCCCTTTTAATTCCCGGTGGTTTTATAAATTTATAAAAAATTTAAATTAGAAGAAAAAAAATTAAAAAGTACTTTTTTTAAAAAAAAAATTTTTAACCCGGGGAAAAAATTAAAAAATTTTTTAAAAAGTTTTGGTTTATTACCTTATTCCTCAATTTCTTGGGGATTAAAAGGGGTATAGGTTTAAAGCGGGGCTAGGAGGGGGTTTGGGAAAATTTGGGTTGAAAAACCCTTTAAAAAATAAAAATTTATATGTTTTTAAAATAATTTTCCCATACAAATTTTTGGGTTTCAAACTAAAATTTTGGCTGCTGTTTCCAATTATTTGTTGAAATTTAAAGGGAAGTTCCAAAAAGAAAAAACATTTTTTTCAAAAACCAGGGGACTATATTTAAAAAGGGGGAATTATCAACCGAAGCATATCATTATTTTAAACTTTTTGTAATATTACCCAAATATTTTTTAATTTTAGTTTAAGGGTTTGGAAAAACCCAAATTTTGAAAAATCCGCCGCAAAAAGGGTTTACCAGGAAACTAAAATTCAAAATAAAAAAACCAGTTTTAATGCCCCCGCTCTGGACAAAGAATGGTATCTTGAAAGGGGTAAAACGGGAAAAATATAGTGGGGTTTGTTTGATTATTTTTTGTTTATTTCATTTTACTTTTTCCCCATTTTCATATTAGGGGGTAGTTTCCAACCATCTTTTCCGGGGAGAGTTACCCCTTACTGGAACTCCCTTTCCCCTCCGGGGGCTAATTTACCAAACCCATCCCCCGGGGGTTTTAACCCAGGGGCCAGAGGGGGTTAACTGGAAAAAAGAATTTCAGACTCTAACCCTCACCACGGGGGCCCCCCCGGTTTAAGTATTCTTTCTTTTTTACCAAGTTTCCCGTTATAACAAAAATTACGGGAATTTCTGAATATTTTTTTGATTTAAATGGGAAATTACATGGGTTGAAAAACGTTCCTCACAAAAACACATAAAGGGCCCTTTTGGGGGTTTTCAAAACCAAAAAGGGTGGGGGGAGGGAAATTTTAAAACCCTTTTTTTTTAATCGGGTTTCCCCAAACAAGATTACACAAATGGGGGATATGTTTTTTATCTTTGGGGAAAACAAATAATAACAAAAAAATTTTTTTAAATTTTAAAAGGTGAAACCCCAAAACTACAAAAAAAAAACCAGAATAAATAGCAGCAACAAAATATTTATGCTTTTTGGTGACATTTTTAAATTGGAGTTCAAAAATTTAAACAGGGACATTCTGTTTTACCCCCTTTTCCAGAATCGAACATTGGGTTTGGGAAAAAACTTATTTTTAACCAGTTATAATTTTTCCCCTTTTACATTAAGCTACACTTCCATTTACAGAAAAAAATTAATTTTTAAAAGGGTTTTCAAAATGATTAAGGTTTTTAATATTCATTAAAAAGGCTCCCTTCTATGTTTTAAACGTTAAAAAAATGCTCAAGCGGGGGCTGGGGGCATGGGGGGATGTTGCACTTTTTCCCTTTCCCCCTTTCCGGACTAAATTTAAAACCGATTTCCTGCTTTTTTATATTTATTTTGTTTTTTAAAATTTGCCCCCCCGGGAACCTTTTTCATTTTTAAAAAAGATTATTTTAATAAACTGTTTTCCAAAAAAAAAAGGGTATATACACTTTTGACATTTATTTTTTTGAAGAAATTTTTAATTAGCATTTTTTTTCCTAAATTAAAATTTTTTTTAAAAGCTTCTTTTTTCTTTTTGGTTTAAACTACAGGGGTATTTATTAAAGGAAATATGGGGTTTTTTCAAAATATTTACTATAATTAAATTTTGAAATTTTCTTTTAAACCCGAAAAAGAAAATATAATAAAAAAAGGTATATATTTTGATATTAAAACCCCTTAAAAACCTTTGTTGATAACCATAAAAAATTTTTCCCCGAGATAAAATAAATATAATATGTAAAAGCCAAAAAAAGAGGGGGTTTTATTTTTAAAGGGACTAATAAAAAAAAATTTTATATATGTGTTTGGCCTAAGATTTTGGTTTTTTTCCCCCCTCTTTTCCAATTAAAAATTAAATTTCACCAGCCCAAAAGTTCAGGTCCGGGAGGGCCTTTTGCTTGCTGCCAAGAAGTTTACCAGAACTAGTGCCTTCGCTGTCGCTGGGAAATTGTACAGGGGCAATGGGGAAAGGGAAATAATTCATGACCCAAAAACGAAAATGCCCTGCGCGGGCCCGGGAATAAACCCTGGGCCCGGGGACCCTTCACAGCCCAAATTTGCTCTAAGCCTTTTGATCTAGCCGGAACTGTATACTTGGATACCATACTATATCATAAACGTTACACGTACATTTACTCAAGATTCTATCAGGTATATGAAAAATGCGACGATTATGACATTTTTAGCAATCAGAACAGTTATAGTGAATGGAAGTCACAAATTCACAATACATCTTTGCTTACATTTTATTACTTTTATGACAAATAATTTCACACCAAAAGCTATTTTCTTTCAGGTGAAACCATCATTTAAATCATGCTTACCCTTTCTAGATAAAAAATTCTGAGACATAGTGTAACTATCAACAAGAACATTGGTCAAAAGGTACTTTCGAATTGTACTGATTCTGATTGAAATGCACAACAGCATTCTATAAATAACCTGTATACATGTCATAAAAAGGTTCTTCCATTTACAATTCTTCTTAAAGGCACATTATGCCTCAGAAACAAATATATTTTTATTTCTTTAGAAAGGGCAAACATAAGTTTTGTAATGTTAAATAATGGTTTAAAAGCATGTTAGAGTTTTTTCTGAAGAAATTTAAGCGATAAAATTGGTTTAATTTTGCCCATAAAAGGGGGAAAACAAAATGTAAACAAGAGGGAGCAATTTGGGGTTTTAAAAACTATTTAAATAAACAAAAAAACCATACTTGCCAAAAAAACGGGAAAAAAAGGGATTTTTTCAAGTAAGGGGCCCGAATGGTAACTTTGAATATAAAATAAAATTAACCAAAAATTTAAATAACCTTTTTAAGAAAAAAAAAAACCCTTTCTTGAGGCATAAGGGGCCCCCTTAATCAGACCAACACTTTTAAATTTAAATTTTTAAACGGTAAAACCTTTTAAACCACCATCGAGCCCAGTGTGAAGTTTCTTCAGGTACATGCATAAAAAAACATTTGCCATTGATCGCTTTTTTCACGTCTAGAAAGAAATTTGCTAAAATATAATATTTTATTAAAACCTTGCAACAGTTTAATTAACAGTATGTGAAAAACTTCACGTTATATTTATTGCCCATGTCGTGATATCACCAAAGTACTTATATAACCATGGTATCATTATATGTCCTACAATTGCAGACGTAAAAATATTTTATAAAAGTTCAGAGTTTTTTCCCCATTTTACTGTGTTGGTGCGACAAAAAAAAAATAAAATAGAATATATAAAAATCACAGTATATAAGCAAGTCAACTTCCTGTTATCGCAAGTAAGGTACAAGTTAAAATATATAGGCTCCCAAGTAACGTACAGTGATCGGAAGTAACATATGCTTTTACCCGCAAGTCAGGGTACAGATTGAATTATATAGGCTCACAAGACAGGGTACAGTGATTTTGTTTATATACTGTGAAAATAGAAAGCGTGTAATATATATGAGGAAATGTGTTCATTTGATGCAACTATATACATGTATATGTATGAACCACAGTGTTACATTCCTATAGCAAGACGCATAGCAATGTTCGTAAAACGTTAAAGAATTAATTTTTGTGCCAAAACGACTGGCAAACATTGCCTTGCAATGATACATAATAACACAAATAAACAATCTTTAACAAATCCTCCAAAAACTAAATTGTGTAAAATCACATCATAATTGATTTATCTGTATTAATAAAATTTCTTGAGAAAAGAAAATGGAAATCTGGAAGACTAATATGACAAGATAGAAAATGTTGATTGAAGGTTTTTATTGTGTGTTGTTAATATAAGCAATCGTCTACGCCCCATAGCACCGGCTTCAGCAAAACTCGGCACACAAATATGATGTCTTTGTTTTAGAATTTAGCGACATCTGCATTATATGATGCTACTTTTTGTGCTATCTGCATACAATTTTCACCCTTTTTAATTTGCACATTATCAATGCCACTAACATTCCATGTAGTTTACCAAAAGGAGGTCAAAATATGCAAAAATAGCCCTTACTGCGTTAGTAACGAGTAGAAATATAGATATAATTACTGGAAAAAAAATCAGCCATTAATCGCACAATTTATGTCAATTATTACTGGAAGCTGGAATTTTTTACTTTTCCTAAAATCTTAGTACATTTTTCTCAAACTTGATTTTATTGAAATATTTTGGCTCATCTGGAGGCATGCAGCTTTAAATATAAATGGTTATCTTTTTCTGTTTCAGATTGATACACGAGAGGGAAATACTGACCTCCCTAAGCTCGATCTGAACGTTCTTGCGGCTTGGAAGATGGGTGTAACTGGTAAAGGCGTTGTCGTGACTGTACTTGATGATGGTAATAAAAACTAATTTCTACGTTACGTCTTAACCTCATCTTTTCATCATTGCGTCTTTTAATGCATGCTGGGATTTGGTATAAAATCGCCATCATATTTTTAGGGAATATTAACACTAAACATCTGTAACTCAACTTTAAATTTGACCTCCGAATGACATGAAAGGAACGCAAATGTTTTACCGAGAAAGATATGTCCAAAAAGACGATTGTAAAAAAACTCATAACAATACTAAAACATTCCTGACGAAATTAAATTGCCGCTTGCCCCTCTTTGAATTTGCTAGAATGATGCTGCGACAAATGATGCAAATAATTTTTTTAACTTTTTCCATAGTGCAACATGAATGTCTTAGTTTGATTCAAGCATTCGCTAACTGTAGTCTTTAAAAACATTACACTCTTTGCTAAGTACTGGTTGGTTCCAGGAACGGACTCGAGAGTGTGTCTATAAGCTTATAGCTTCCTACACAACCGAACTCAAATAAATTCTGTATAAACCAAATGTAGTCTTTGTTGAAAGACATTTTATAATACTTGTAGCATCCCTTTTCATTGAATAATCGTGACTGTTATATATAAATTGTAAACACGACTGCTGTCAATTCTTGAATCTTTTTTTTTAGCCTTGCGGTCCTGAATATATATGAAACCACCGTTTGTATAGGGCAAAATCTTTTATAACTAACAATATGAAAGGAAAAAAAAGAGTCACGTGCTCTAAGCATATACGTTTTGAATAAAAACACATGTTTTCTTTTGATATAAAATAGCATTGATATTTCAGCCATCTTTCCTGGAAACGACAGAAAATAATGAACGTTCGGATGACATTATTATATGACCAAACCTTTATATGTGTCATCCTACTAATGCAATTGTAGAACATTTATAAACATATAAAAAAACACTGTTCCACCTACGTTGGTTCCGAGCCAGGTAAACAAGATTGTCTCTTTTAATATACTTTGTGTACTCTGCATAGAAATTTGCAAAGATAAATTAATATTGAGATCTAGTTTCAAAGACAAAAAGACTTAGAAGTTTCAACTTGAGAAACCGTTATAAAGATAATTAACTTTTGTGACGGCGTTTTAAATACCATTGGTGTATTATTGCAGGTTTTATAAAGTTACAGTAATTAAAGGTAATCGTGCAAAGAACGAAATGAAGATAGATAGACGTGGGTGTAACGGTTAATCTTTTTGAAATTAAGGTCTTCTTATTTCTTATCATTTAACAAATGCCATATACATTGTTTTCTTAACCTTCACCACTCCTATTACCCAGTTTAATACAGAGTACGAAAAAAAGCGAGTACGAACTATTGCGTACTTGCCGAAAGGCTAAATATTAAGACACAGCTTTCGTCACGTTATTTTGCATTGATAGCAATACCGCACAACAACAGCATAAACAACATAATATAATGCATCGCAATATAATAATGCAACACAAGAATGCAACAAAACAATATATTACATGACAACCATACATACCACAAAACAACACAATTTTACAACACACCAATACATAACTATACAACACAACAATATAATATCACAAAACAACACAATAATACAACACAACTTTACACCACACCATTGACCAGTACATTACAGTACAACACAACAATGCAATAAAACAAAAACCAATATAACACAACAAAATAAAACAAGGAAATCATACAACACGACGATACGTTATAATACAACACAGCTCTTCAAAAATACCCTACAAAACACCACTCCAATACAATACAAGACAATATAGTACAATATAATAAACAATACAGGTACAATACTTAATTCAATACATGACAATATAACAAAAAATACAATAGTGCGTAACTGTAGGGTTGGATATGACAAGGTGCTACAAAATATAAACTTTTCCTTTTTTATTCAATAAAATTCGATAATATCACCCAAAAAAAAGGCAAAAATAAAATGACTGTTGTCATACAAGATAAAAACACACTTGATAAATAAATCGTGGTGATAAAAACATGTTCAAAACATGTTCAAGAAGGAAGACATATTACATGAAAGGTTAACGCGTCGGACTAGTAATCTAATGATCGCTAGTCGCATGGGTTCAAACCTCGTTATATAGGGGCAAGTCGTTGTGTCCGTAAACAAGAAATTTTGCACTCGTTGCCTAGTACTGGTTGGTTCCAGGAACAGATTCGAAAATGTTTCTATAAGCTTATAGTTTCCTACACATTCGAGCTAAAGAAATTTATGTATAAACAAAACATGTTAAAACATGAAAATTCAATCTTTGAGTTAACACAGATATACTCAATAAGGCAACACAAACATACGTAAAACATTTTAATCTTTTTATTTGGGATAAAACTTGAGCGGATGTCGGACGGGCACATTATCTGTTTTGACCTTCATCTAGATATGTTGAATAATTACCTTACTTTTTATGTTATTGCTTTATTTCTTGTTCTGCTTATTTTGCCAGGGATAGAGCATACACACGATGATCTCCAAAAGAATTACGTAAGTCATATTTTATTTATTTGTTTGTACATATAGTTTGCCTCAAAGTGAATTTATATATAAAAGAAGATTTCTGTTCTAAGCATTTGCTATAGCATATCTCTAACAATAGCGCACGTTTGTAAGAATTGTGACAATTGGTTGGCTTTTGATTCTTATCAATAAATACATTTAAATGAATTTCGTTAAAAAGGTCTAATTAAAAAATACATGGTCGGCGTCAGTTTGGTTTGGCGTGACTTAAGGTAAGATCCCCCTAATGGGTACTGTAAGGAACTGTAAAATTTACAACATAGGTCACTTATATGTCTTAAAAGTCATAGAGGGCACCTGTATGCACAATTTAAACAAAGTTTACCGTATGGTTTACGAGTTATGGACATTTTTATAACCTAAAGCTTGGTTATTAAAAGAATTCTTTTTATAGAAATGAAGAAACTCTAAACAATTAATGATATCATCTGTATGAAAAACGTTTTCCAATTTATCATAGTTATGAAACAAAAAATAACATTCAGCTTACAATCTACAAAAAAGCAAAATCTTTGTTTCTAGTCAAAATTTATGAAATATGCAAGAAAATGTTTCCCCTTCCCCACCCATTTTAAACATTTGTTTTACCATTTTCCTACTTATATAGAGAGCCTAATTTAAAAAAAAAATCCCTAAAAATTGCCGAATTGAGGTTGTTTCAAAGTTTCCCTAAATTTTCTCACAAGTATATTGGTTGATCTTGTAAAATATTAAATACTTTTACCATCTAGCTTTTATTTAATTAGACTTTGAAAATATCAGGTACCGTATTTTTCATTCGGTTTAGCATTAGTTAGCAAATAGATACCCATATTAATTACATTAATAAAATTAAAACCTTTTTTCTTCCCGAAAGGTTTAATAAGAGACACGTCAAAATGTTAAAAGAAAGAAAAAAGGGAGAAAAAGTTGACACTTGAAGGTTTAACCCACGCCCTTCAGTTTCAATGCAGACGACATTAATTCTAGCCTCAATGCAAGGGATCTTACCTTAAGGAAGGTGTGAAGAAAGTAGAATGCTAGAGATCTAGAAAACATATTACATCTTAGAATATACGCATGGCAAAATATGTTCTTTTATATTAGGACATATTTGGTTATTGTTAAGAATGCACATGTCCTATAATAATTTACTTTACATAAAATACACTTTTTAAATATAGAATACACTTGCCTAAATTTAGAAGTCACGTGATTGAGTTGACCATGTACATTGTGTAATTTCAGGACCCTGCAGCAAGTTATGATTTAAATGGAAACGATGAAGATCCATTCCCCAGATACGATCCTACCAATGAAAACAAGTATGTGACCTATGATATTAGATGTTGCTTTTAAAAGTTCAAGTTAATCTAGGCATTCAATGATAAAGAGACAAAAATATGACTTCATTGATTAGAATGGATCATATCAGGTGCCTGTTCGTGCCTGAAATAATGCACGGAAGGGAAATGAGGTTTTCCTCCACCAGTAAAGCTCGCAATATGACCTATACTGTGTCGATGTGACGTACCCCCCCCCCCCCACAAAAAAAAAAAAAAAGAAAAGAAAAAAAAGAATATGCATCAAACGGACAATGGAGTAAAGCTGTTCAAATTTAATTCAGTACTCTTCAAACTGAGCTTTTTAAAAATTGTAAATTTTAACTGAATATTTCTTTCACAGAATATCTTTTAAGCATAAGCCACAGAATATAATGTAAGCAAATAACATAGATTTAATTTTACTCTCAATACTTTTGTATCTACAGTGTTATAAAGTAGGAAATTTGGTAAACTTAAAGCAGCTTGCATTAAGATTCATTGTTATTTTCACGAACATTTTAAAACTGTATTGAAATTAAAACATTGTCAAGTGAACAAAGATTGAAATTTACACACTTCAGACGACACTTGATATTTACCAAAAGTACAAAACATAGTTCAGAATATGCAAAAATAACCCTTATTGCGTTAGTCACGCAGTAGACATAAGGTAATAACTAATAACTACTGTAAAATCTGTCATGAATTGCTTATAATGTGTAATTTTTTCTTAAATTATGAGTAATTAACTTTTCTTAAAAATTTTATTACGTAATTCTATAGTTTGATTTTTCTTGAGATATTTTTGGTCATATATCATATTGCTCTCGTTTACAGACATGGTACAAGGTGTGCCGGAGAAATTGCTATGGTAGAAAACAACGGTTTCTGTGGAGTAGGCGTGGCCTATAATTCAAAAATCGGAGGTTTGTATTCCAAACAATTCTCAAAGTACAAAACTTTTTTTTCAGTATGAAAAGTATGGTGGCATATTTCTGCCACCAGATAACCTGATAATTAACTAGTTAATTAAGAGGTTAACTAGTTACGTAACTAGTTAACTCTTAATTACTAGTCTATTATCAGTTAAATTAGCTACTAAGTTATCTTAATTAATATTGTTATCAGGTATCTGTGCAAATATGCACCATGAAAAGTGATAAAAAATTATTTTTCACTTCAATATAGCACAGACAGAATTGATTTGATGCCAAGAAGGGTTCTTTCTTCTAGACTGGTTTGGGATTGTATTTGTCATTTTTAATTGAACATGTATATCAATCTAAAAAATGAAGAAAAAGTATCACAAGTGACCCCAAGTTTATCTGTTTAAAGAGGTTAAAAGATTAAGATATTTCTTCAGACAACTTAAGGTTACAAATAAATTATGGCCGAGTGGTTAATGTGTCGGGCTAGTAACCTAACGATCGCTTATTTGTGTGGGTTCAAACCCCGTCAAGGGGTGAGCCGTTGTTTCCTTTGAGGGGAAAGACTGTACAGTCATTGCTCAGTACTGGTTAGTCCAGGAACGGATTCGAAAGTGGGTATATAAGCTATAAGATTTCTACACAATCAAACTAGTATAATTTCTGTATTAACCAAATATATGGGAGATATAAATATTTCGTTCCATATCAATACAAAGTTGTAAAAATGTATGTTTGGTATGAAGATAGTACAAAAAATGTGAGTCTTCTTTTATCACATAGCTGTGTCGTTTTTGCGACTTCGTAAAAATGGTATTGCACGGCCGTGCATCTATTTTGACGTGACGTCATTTGCATCCTATAAACATAGAGTTAATTAATGTTAGCGTTATACTATAGGCGCGTCATCTTTTCACTTCAAACGGTCTTTATTTTTGGTATGTGATGAAAAGAATATTAAATTCGTCTAATATCATTACTAAATTTATTGAACGAGAGAGGCCAGAGGCTCGCATAATAAATTTTTATTCAACTCGTTCAAAAAATTCAGTAATAAAGTTACAATTATTCAATATCCTCTATGTATGCCCTTACTTTCTTTGATTTGGTCTATAAGGAAAGGTCTGTGAGATACATGATCCGATTTTACATATATTTATATAGCAAATAATGAAGTGGTCTTGAACAAAATATTCATCCCTGTATCATAAAAATTTATACTAAATTACTTATAACACTAGACCTCTATCAACATTTTTTAAGCAATATTTTATAAGAATATCCAAATGATGCATTTCTGTTGTTGTTGTTGTTTTTTTTTTTATCAATATTCGAAATACTTATATTATGGAAAATGTGCCCATTGCAGACCAATCCACTTTGATAATGTGAAGAATTGGTTACAGGTGATTTTATAACTCCAAGTGCTAGTGCTGATATAACTAACTATGTTGATGTAGGTAAGTTTATATTTGGATTATTTCAGGTGTAAGGATGCTGGATGGAACTGTGACAGACCAACTAGAAGGGGAAGCAATCGCGTTCAATCACGAATATGTAGATGTATACAGCGCTAGCTGGGGACCCAATGATGATGGGAAAACCGTTGAAGGCCCAGGCAAACTGGCACAAGAGGCATTTTTAAAAGGTATCACAAAGGTAAGAACTGATTAATCCTTATGTGACTTGTTTTATATTCTTGCATATCAGACAGGATTATCTACCGTTTACACCGGTGCCAGAAACCCTGTCTTACAGTCCCGAAATGACGTCATTGTCTCGCACCTTTAGGAATGAGTTGCGTTCTAAGGATGACGTCATTTTACCGTTGTGAATGAAGTTGTGAGTTAAGAAAAAAATGCCTAATGAGAATATCAGTTTTCGTAATTTCTGTTCTGAAAATAATTGATAAAGAATCAAACACCGGCTGACGGTAAGACGGAAATATCTAGCTCTCGGGTAACTGTTTAGCGGAAACTCGGCAAAGCCTCGTTACCGCCGTAAACAATTACCCTCGATCTTGATATTCCGGTCTGTACCGGCACCCAGTGTAAGATTCTTATAAAGTGTAACCTCTGCACAACGGGCATCTGCAGAGAAATTACCTCTTTATATTAACAGTACTTATCAGTTCTTGCCAAAGAAAGACTTCACAATAATTTGAGTCTCTCTAGAGAAACACCTGTTAACAACAGTTGCAATCTTTGTCTCTCAAAGAATTTTGCTGTCCAGAAATCGTAATGTACCAACAATTAGTCAATTTGAAAACTCGTTTCCCGCAATTTTTGTCTCCTATAAACTCTGCTGCTCTGGAGTATGTAGTTGTACTGTATCAGCAATAAGTCGATTTTGAAAACTCTTTATGACCAGTTTAAGTTCTTTGTTAGGCATTTTTAAGGGAGTTTATGCTAAACAGAGTTTTTTTTACTCATGTCTAAACAAATAACAGCTTAACCAACTTCATATGCAATTTAAGCAACAAATACATTAACGCGTATTCCTATGATATCTTAGGGACGTGGCGGGAAAGGAGTTATCTACTCGTGGGCGTCCGGAAATGGAGGTGGTCTGGGAGATAACTGCGACTGTGATGGCTACACCGGAAGTATATACACAATTTCAATCAGTAGTGCCTCGCAAAAACAACTCACTCCTTGGTATGCGGAAAAATGCGCGTCAACATTGGCTACAGCATATTCTAGTGGTGCTTATAATGATCAACGAATTGTGAGTACAGTCGCTATAACACTTCTGATCATCTCAAGGTCACATGATCTAAAATTATGTTACCTCTAATGTCACGTGATCAGCACTTTTTTATGTTGTAATGAAGGTTGTTACCACACTTAAGTAAAATTTTATATATGTATATAATAAATGTAATTATGCTTCTTACTTTTAATTATGCTTTCGGTAATATCTTTACAAAAAATGCTTTTTGGAACTTACAATTTTGATAAATCTTCATTTGAGCATGATATTTATGATATAAAACTATAAAAAATGAGTAACAAGATCTTTAAGATCACATGATCCCTTAAATAGAAGTTGTCCTACTTTGAAAAATCATCAATATCAATATGCTATAATTTAATTTAAATGTTTACAAAATTGGTATTTTCTTAGCTAGAAGCTATGTTTATTATGTCATCGTTATGCAAGCATTGCTAACATTTCTATTTGTATTGAAAACATAGAAAAAACATGTTTTTGCATTTTAACATGTTTTACGTCGGTTGAGTATCTTTTTTAAAGATATTTATTGTTTCCATTCAGACCAGTACAGATCTGCATAATCAATGTACACAAGGGCATACCGGAACTTCCGCCGCGGCACCATTGGCTGCTGGGATATTTGCCCTCGTTCTGGAGGCAAAGTAAGAGGGCATTTTGATTCATTTCTAGAAGGGAAAAACCTGTATCTGTTACAATCGTATAATATTTATAGTCTTAAGAGCAAACATCAAATACCTTTGATGTTAAATGTTTTGTAAATGGTTGAAAGAGGTTATATCACGGTATTTGTAGCCGTTTAACCAGCTAGCTTACGTAACGTCGGTTGTTCTACTCAGGTGCCCGTTCGTGCCTGAAATAATGAACGGAAGGTCACCTGAGTTCTTCCTCCACCAGTAAAGCTGGAACGTCGCCCTATGACCTATACTGTGTCGATGTGGCGTAAAACCCAATCAAACAAACAAAATTGTAGCAGTTTAACAAGAAGTTGCAAACACATTTCAAAATCATTACAATTGTTGTCGGATGATACATATAGCAAGATGTCATTTAATATATACATTTTTATCTCTAAACATGATAATATAACTTTATGTTTGTATATTACAGTCCAAATGTCACGTGGAGAGATATGCAACACATTGTTGTTTGGACGGCAGAATATTCTTCATTAAAAGATAACCAAGGATGGAAAAAGAATGCCGCTGGTTTTTGGGTAAATTCTGCATTCGGCTTCGGACTTTTAAACGCTGTGGAAATGATAAAGTTAGCAAATCCCGGAACGTGGAAGACTGTACCTGAGAAATCCATATGTAGTGTAGTGACGTCATTGAATTCCAATTTACCACAGTGAGTAATGGCTTCACATGATATATTGTTGTTTTTATTGCTTCTGAGGGATCAACTTTTTTTCAATATTTTAATACTTCACAACAGCAGGTGTCAAGTGCTGTCTGGCAGTGGTACAAAGTTGCTCCGTACTTCAATTCAGAGTTGTTCTATTTTCTTCTTTTCGGGATCGTTGATCGTAGTCCGTTTATGTTTGAAAATTGAATCAATACCGATTTAGCCGGTGCTAGGGGGCATGAGAGATTTTGCATGAACAGACTATATCAAACCAGTCCTTTTGGGATCATTGATTTAAGCGCGTTAGTGTTGAAAATAGAATACTGATTTTAAAAGCCGGTGCTAGGGGGTGTACTTTTACATTATATATTGCATAGACAGACGCAGTAAAAACGAATCAGTAAAATATGTAAAGGAATTAAAGTAACACAACAGTTGTCATATAAAGATGTAAATGAAATTTCTATAAACATATAAACCTTTTGAACATCTTAAAATTAGATTATTTTCCGTGGCACTCGATCTTTTGCTAACAATATTTTCAAAGAATTTATGATGGTTTGTTTTTATGGGTAGCATTGACCTGTGATTGACTGCTTTGCCTTTAACATAGAGATCTAGCCCTTTTATTGCACTGTGAAGTAAGTACTTATGAGCCCAGGAAACCGGGTCTCTTGTTTTAAACAAGCCGAGCATTTTCTTCTTATGTATAGAAAAAAAAAGAATTTTGTTTACCCATCAACATTTTGTTTTACATGCAGAAATTTAAGCAGTGGTAAAGAACTTGAAATCCAGATGACGACGGACGGGTGTGAAGGCCAGGAAAATGAGATCAACTATCTCGAGCACGTACAGCTCGTGCTATCTATGAGCTATACCAAACGAGGAGCTCTTTCGATTGACTTGTTTAACCCTTCAGGTATAATTCTCTATATTTCTACTTTAAAATATACCCAGTGAATTCCATATAATCTTTTCTTGAGATTTTTTCTTTTCTTTCACTTGATAAACAATGTTTCTTCTCAGTTAATGGGCACCGTTTTTTTCTCAGATGATGTATAAAGTCATTTTTCATACTGAAAGTAAACAATAGTTTTTTGTATAATAAACAATGCTTTTCTAAGATGAAAAATAAATGTTTTCCTTAGATAATAAACAGTACTTTTAGACAGATATTAAACATTTTGTTTTTGTTTTCCTTAGATGATAAATATTGTTTTCGGAAGATGATAAATGAGGTTTTTCCTTAAATTATAAACAATAGTTTCTTCTGAATAATAACACTGTTTTCCCTCAGATTATAAATAAAATCCCCAGATTATAAGCAATGTATTTTCCTTGAGTTGTGTACAAAGTATTTTTTCCTCAGATGATAAACAATCTTTATACTTATCTGATAATGTTTCCTCAGATTATAAACGCTATATCAGATATAAAAACATGTAAATTAATACTTAATAAAGTAATAAAGATAAACATAATGTTTTTCCTAAGATGATAAACTAAATTTCTGATGATCCTTCAGTAATCAACAATGTTTTCCCTTGCTGATAAACATTATTTTCCTCAGAAGATTCACTTAATTTTTTTCCACATATGTTCATTTTGTTATATTAAATGCTTTTTCCCCAGATGATAAACATTATTTTCCTCAGATGATAAACTGTGTCTGTTTATCCACATGTAATGATTTCATACTGTTTTTTATCACATACCCGCGCCGATTTTGCGAGTTCGTAAAAATGGTATTGCACGACTGTGCATATATGTTGCCGTGACGTCATTTGCGTTATATAAATAAAACGCTAAATGTAAGCGTTGTACTATAGGCGCGTCAATGAAAATGGTTCTTTATCACTTCAAACGGTCTTTTATTTTGGTATGTGATTACTCGAATATTAAATTCGTGTAATTTCATTACTAAATTTATTGAACTCGTTGAATAAAATAATTTTTAGCTCGCCAGAGGCTCGCATAATATAATTTTATTCAACTCGTTCAATAAATTCAGTATTGAATCTACACTCATTCAATATCCTTTATATATTACACAGAAACAAAAATATGATTTTGTTATTTCATAAACGTGATTTTTTTCTGATCAAGACTAAATGTCGAAAACTAAGGAAAATGTTTGTTTTTATTGAACTGGTTATATATTCATATATCATAGGGAACGTTACAATGTTGTTGTCAGAAAGGAGCAGTGACGAGAATACGGATGGTTTTGATGAATGGACCTTCATGTCAGTACACAGCTGGGGTGAAAACCCTCAAGGAAATTGGAGACTTCAAATTAGAGATAGGGTAAGAAAATTTATTTTGTATTTTTATTTATTTGTTATTTTTTATAATTAATTAATTTATTAATTTATTTATTTTATTTATTTATTTATATATTTCATGCTGTTCATTTCGTATTACATTTTTATTTATTTCATGTAATCATTCATATTATTATTATTTTGTTTCATTCATTCATTCATTCATTCATTCATTCATTCATTCATTCATTCATTCATTCATTCATTCATTCATTCATTTATTTATTTATTTATTTATTTATTTCATAATAATAATAAACTTGCCTTGCGCACTGTCCTATTTTTGTTTGGGCTCCTTGCCACTGGTTCTTGTTGCTAGGTCGTTTAGGAGTTACGTTCATTGAACACCGCCTTTCCTTGTTGATCTTGTTATATCATATTTTACGGTTTCATATAAACGAAAATACCAAAAACACGAACTGGTTACAAAACTTTGATTTCATAAATTGAAAATAAAAATAAACTTATACATGTACGTATATTAATAATTTAGATTCACAGTTGCTGCATTTTTTCACTGAATTATAAGAATCCATCAAAATCAAAGACAATAATATTTTTGGCAGTCTGGCATGCCTAGGCAGCGGTTTGTATACAAATTGACTGCGATACCGGCGGGGCCCGGTGTATTCCGAAAGAAAAACTGTAGGAAATTAAATACATAAATACTTTGATTTTTTACCAGATATTAAATTAACTTGTATGTTGTATTTCAATTTAAGAATGGAAGTCACTTCAAAGGGGTCGTGAAATCAGTGAAACTTATTCTCCATGGTACAAGAGAACAGCCAGATCACGTGCGAAAATCGCCTGGCGGCAGACGACAATATAACCATCATTATAATGACGTATATGTAGAAAGAAGGGTAATATTTTGCATTGAATATAAAATAGTAAAGTAGTTTCCGATCAAAACAATATTATTTTTTCTCAGGATTTTAAAGTAGGAAAATAACTTGTATTCTTAAAAGTGTCCATAAAATATGTCTGAACAACTCTGACTTTGAAAAAAATGCACTCATAAATTTATTTTATTATGTTTACAAATGTAATAATGAATAATCATAATTCTAAACAGTCACGTGACTTAGTGATGTATGAACATATTCATATTCATTAAAAAAAATCAGGGCTGACATGAAAATCTGACAAAAGCATACAGTGTAAACCACTTTAAGCGGAGACTTTTTTTTTGCTTATCGGCAGTTAGTGTTATACTAGTATTATGGTAGATAATCGAATGTGACGAATTTGCCGTGCTTATGTTCCATTCTTACTTGCAGTTAGCCTAATGACGTCATATGTGACATTATTGTACTTTTTTTCTCAGCTTGCGGAGAAATTGATAAAATTACTGGTTAGTTATCCTGAGAAATGACCAAAATGTTTAATTTGCCGTTAAACGATAAAACTAACCAACCAACCAACCTTTCAACCGCGGATAATTCGCAACAAAGCGTAGTCTGTGTTTAAAACAAACAAAACCAAACCAAAACAAACAAATCATAGCCAAAACCAAACAAACAGAAAAAGAAGAATCCAAAACCAACCAAAATATAAACAAAACAAGCAAAACATAGCCAAACCCAAACAAACAGTAAAAATAAAAAAAATAAAATCAACCAAAACATAAGCAAAACAAACAAAACAGAAAAACAAACAAACAAACAAAACAAAAACTAAACTAAACAGACGGAAAAAACACAACCAAAATATTACCAAAACAACAGAAATCAAAAATCAGAAAAGCAAATAAACAATTGCAAACCTTACTTGAAATAGTACTTTTATTATTTCAGATTAATAAAGAGAGGATGGACGAACTAGCAGACGATCTCGCTAAGTTACGTGAGGCTATCAGCAGAAGTTTGTAAAAGAACTGCGTCTACTTAACCAAGATTATACCATTACAAAGCTCAATTAAACTTATTAAAATCCAATTTTTATTCTACTCTATTTTTCTTAACGGTTTACCACATAGTTTTGTATTTAAATGATTCATTTATTTTTTTGCAAGGACAAAAGAATAAACTTATCTTAAAATACACCTAGAGCTACATTAAATTAAAAAAAAACACATAAGTACATTTTTATTTGCTCAAGTTTTTTGCCTGAAATTCTGTAGTTTTTGTTGATGTTGTGTGTTTTTCGTCAGTGCTAAAATAGCTGACGGTGGAAAATACAAAGAGAGAAAAAAAACACAAAGTAATTAACTAATTATAGTACATTCTCCTTTAAATATTATTTATTTTCAACTGAACCAAAACTGTATCTTCAATTCATGGTACTAATTAATTGGTTTAACCCTGAACAATCTAAATAGCTTAAATGGACTTGTCCATCTTTCAATCTTGACAAAACCATTGATCATTTTATGGAATGTGCATTGACTGAGAAGCGAACATTGCAGACCATGATCAGACGACAAAGACGTCACGTGACGGCTGACCTTGGTCTGCACTGGTCGCATAAATAGACTCTGTTGCCGCCAGAAGTCTAGAGTTGAATAAATTAATGTGGTTTAAACGAAATATGTGTTCTCTGTTATATTAGAAGCATTTGAATGTTTCACCTTCCATTTTCATAAAAATCTATTTTGATGTGTTTCATTATACAAACAATTTGAAACAAAATAAGTAAAAAGAACCAAAATAATTATGTTTGTTTTACCTGTTGCTTCAAAACAATGCGCTATCATGCAGTGTTGTACTCTGGAATCTTCAAATGCATCGTAAGGTAGTGTGATTAAATAACGTAAAGCATTCTGAACAATAAATCGTATATAATATCAAACTGTTATGTACTGAAGAGTGAAAAATATGTTCAAGTAATATTGATATAGCTTTGGTCCGTGCAATATTATTAAAAGTGCTACACATACTTAAACATATTTTGTCGTCATATATAGTCAAATGAAAAAAAAAAGTGAAATTAATTAGCGTTAAATTTTTATACTGACAAGAGCAAAATATAGGCAATTAATTGATATCAATATGTGCGTATTGGTTTCGAGATATTCTACTTTACAGCTCGACTTTTTCGGAAGAAAAACTCGAGGTATTGCTACAGCCATTGTCCGTTCCAGTTGCCATTGCCGTCCGAAAATTAACTTTGGCCATTTTTTTTAATTATTATTTCTCAATGGATTGTCTTCATTACTTGGAAACAACATTCCTTTGGACAAGACCGTCAAGTATTTACATTAACTCATAAATGGCCTCGACCTTCAAGATCAAATGTTTGAATTTTGCTTGACTTGTTTGACTTTAGAAATAAGAAAAAGTCGGGCGTGACGGCATTTGTTAAAATAAAATTTGATAGTTCCGGTGAATGCCCGTAGTTAAATCACGTGAATTTACGAGTAAATCACGTAGTTAAATCACGTGAATTTACCAGTGAATGACGTAGTGAAAAGTAAATATTGCAATTGTGCAATATTTTAAAACTGTTTTTGTGCCTACGGATGTTTCTGCACACATTTTACTGTTCTCTTAATAGATATACCTATTTTGAAAGCACAAATCAGTATTAAATGTTTGATAATCAAAAGAATAATAGAATTGTTAATTGTTATTGATGACTAAATTTTTGTGTAGGTTATTTTAATCTCTTAAAGCCAAATATATAATAAATTCATAATCAGGGTATTTTCTTAGTCATTAAAAACTGTTGTTAAGTGATATTAAATAATATTATATTCTACAATAAAAAATTGGTTGGTAAGAAGGGTTTGTTCGTTTATCTGTTATATCATCTGAATACACAGTAGATCTTCCACATGGGTGATAAACATTTATTTATTCCGGAAAAGGGAGCAAAGAAAACAAAGTTTAAAAATGAAAATTCCAGATTTCATTTTACCATTTTCGTGTTTAAATGTTCAATTCTACTTAAGCCGGTGCCAGAGGGCGTGGACGGAACCTTGCACTTTCCACTACAGTCCATGAAAAAGCTCACTCAACAGTTTCAATTTTGTCGTTTTTGTCGTTCTTTAGGGATTCCGTTTTTCTTTATTTTAGTTTGAGTCTGTTCATGAGATATGATGGAAACTGTAACATCTCTCGTCACGCCCCGTAGCACCGGCTTCATTTGAACTGAATTGAAATCGATTGAAAGATTTGTTAGTAATTTCAATCGGAGTAGCAGGGTATCGAACCCGCCCTCTCTTGATTTGAAAATCTTACAGATGGATCAAGAATCGATCTTGCATGACGGTTTTTTGAATTTTTATTCTGCAAGAAACGCTTTAATCCTTAAATATACTTCCCTGCATTATTCCATACACATAAATATACTAGGTAAACTTATTGTATAAATATTCTTTGTCCTTACATGTTACGTTTGCACTTTAAACAAGGACTTGAAATTGATGAGGTCGAGAGTTAGGATAGTGTCGGTCAGTGTGGCGTCTTTGTGTAATGACTGACTTCTCCAAAGATGTTATACGGTACTCTTACTGATAAACGAAACATATAAAGTTGTTCTGAAATCGAGTCCAAAATTAATTAAGATGAAAGTTCCGTTCCGCACAAGTTATCGAGTACCGTAATTAAAAGAGCAGAATCGATCGTTGATTAAGAAGTAGCCTGATATGATTAACCTCTAGGCGTAAAGTGTTGCACTCTACTACTACGTTAACAGCTCAATAAAACGCTTCAAACTTTCAATTTTGTCGTTTGTGTCTTCACGTTAGTCCTTTCTATATCCTACAATTATATCAACGAACTATTTTGGTGCACTATTTATGCTTTGTAAATATGGAAAATGTGAAACATGCACATGGTTTTTGTTGGATATTCAAGTTAAACCAATATTGTAAATGTAAATGTCACGATGTGGCGACTTTACAGCTTAACCGGTTGAGGAATACCCCGGTGACCCCCTGTCAATTTCTGACCAAGCAGAACCCCGGACAACTTCCTTATAGAGGAGAATCCAGTTTCTTGTAAGATTCGAACCTACAGCGGTAAGGGCTTGGTCAAGTGATTTAAAGTGAAGTCAGCCACTTGACCACGGGGACTCCCTGAAAAATGTTATGGATTTATAAGCAGACGCTTTTGTGCAAATTTTCTGACAATTTATTAACTAGCTGTTTTGATGTCCTTTCATAACCATACAAAACACAAAGACAAAAAAATCCACAAACTTCATTATAAGAATTGAACAGCTGACAAAATTTGTAATGTCCCCCGCCTCAGGGAAGTTTTATATGAAGCATAAAATTGTGCTATTTCAAAAGATTAAGGTATGGATCTCAGGACTTTCAGTCCAAAAAATGATCCATTTTAGATCTGCAAATGCAAAAAAAAATATTGGAGGTAGGGGTGCAGGTGTTGTGCATGACATACCGTCTTATTATTGTAACTATTTGTGCCTAGTATTTTCAAAATCCCTTGAACTTGAGTTATAAATCGGACACAAAATATACCATATAACAGAATATCACTAAGTGTGACCTTGGAGGTAGGGACCGATGTTTTGCGCCTGACATATCGTCTTATTATTGTGATTATTTGTGTATTTTTAAAATCCCTTCATCTATGAAAAAGTTATGGACTGGACACCTATAACAGACTACGAAAATCTTTGATCTTTAAAAGTGACCTTAACCTTGGAGCTAGGGACACAGGACTGGTGTTACGCATGACATATCATCTTATCATTGTAACTATTTGTGCCAAGTATTTTCAAAATCCCTTGATCTATGAAGAAGTTATGGACTGGACACCTATAACAGACTACGAAAATCTTTGATCTTTAAAAGTGACCTTAACCTTGGAGCTAGGGACACAGGACTGGTGTTACGCATGACATATCATCTTATCATTGTAACTATTTGTGCCAAGTATTTTCAAAATCCCTTGATCTATGAAGAAGTTATGGACGGGACACAAAATATACCATAAAACAGACTCTGTTAACCTTTGACCTCTAAGTGTGACCTTGACCTTGGAGATAGGCATGCAGTTGTTGTACTTGACATATCGTCTTATTATTGTGACTTTTTGTGCCAAGATATTTCAAAATCCCTTGAACTATGAAGAAGTTCTAGATCGGACACAAAATATACCCTGTAACAGACTATGTTAATTTTTGAGGTAGGAATGCAGGTGTTGCACACGACACATCATCTTATTATAGTGACTTTTTGTGCCAAGTCTTTTCAAAATCCTTTGATCTTTGAAAAAGTTATGGACCGGACACAAAATATACCCTATAACAGACTATGTTAATCTTTGACCTCCAAGTGTGACCTTGACCTTCGAGGTATGTGACCGGTTGTTGCGCATGACACATCGTCTCATTATTGTTAACAATTGTGGCAAGTATTTACAAAATCCCTTCCAAACTGAGAAAGTTATGGACCGGATACGATATATACCCTCAAATAGACAATGTTGACCTTGAATCAGCAAGTGCGACCTTGACCCTGGAGGTAGGCGTCTGGTTGTTGCGCACGACACATCGTCTTATTATAACAAACATTTGTGCCAAGTTATTTCAAATTCCCTTGTGAAATGACAAAGTTATGGATCGGACACGAAGGTCGAACGGACAGACGGACGAAGCCTATTTTCTATACCCCCCTTTTTCTTCGAAAAAGCAGGGGACATTAAAACGGAGTGAACTATAACCAGCACAAGAATGGTAAGATAACTATAATCAACGACAAACACAAAAGGGCTGTTGAACAGACTAAATTCAACAAGTCTCTATATGTACAACGTAAATAACAGAGGTGTATCGAGCGAAAAAATACGAGTTGTTCCCCTTATCTTCAAGTAAAATCGATATCCGTTTTTAAACCGCTACTTTTGGGCGATTTAATGTCCGATTTGTTTAACACTATAGGGGTTAAACCTACCACAAGTCAGACTATTTTACATACGCTTTCCAAACACGCAATTCTACTGATAAGAATAGCCTGTCGGAAACTGTCTATTAAAACAAAAGTAGGATTACAATACTTAACAACAACGCAAAATAGGCGATAACTGTAATCAACACATAAAGGGGGAATAACTATAATCAACAATCAACACACACAAAAGGGGTATAACATCAGTAAACACAAAAGGGGGATAACTATAATCATCACAAAAAGGGGGATAACTATAATCATCACAAAAAGGGGGATAACTTTAATCATTACAAAAGGGGGAATAACCTAATCAACTTATCAGAAATAAACACAAAAGGTGGAATAACTATTATCTTCTGTAAACGCCAAAGGGGGATAACTATAATCATCACAACAAGGGGGATAACTACAATCCCCACAAAAAGGGGGATAACTATAATCAACAATAAACACAAACAGTATAATTCAGAAAAATAAGTTTATTCCATTCAAATAAGTACACATTTTAAATAGTACTATTACAGATATATATATTAAGTTCAAATCGCACTTAAAGGGACTCCACTGAGGTTCAAAAGCCTAAAAACATAACATTTGAATTTCTTACATAAATGAGCTTGGGCACTTTAAATAGAAATATATGCAAAGAAACTAAAGAAACATATTTTGAATTAAATTGAAAATCGTATTTTTTACTCTTTTCGTAGCCCGATTTGAGTGAAAAGCGTTTAAACGCTTTTAGTTTTGAGTCAGTTTTTACAATTTGAATAATTATTCTGAAACTAGAAATGTGTCATCATGCCACGGATGCCCCGCATGCAGCTAAAATTTCAGATGGTGCATAAATTATTTTTTTCATTTTAAGTTCAAAGCCCTTAAAACTTTTCAATGTTAACACAAACCATTTTCATACAATGTTCAAGGCACTGAAATTATTCAGTCTTAACCTTTTAAAAATAGCATATTGCATATTTGTAGCCTAAATAATGGCTAAAAGTATGAGTGCTGAAAGTTCACACTTTTTCCTACATTCAGGAAAGATAAGTTTATCTAAAATCATTAAACCACAACCAAATTCAAACTTAAACTGCTTATTACTAAGATGTATCTATATTATTTTCAAAGTGAAAGGGACATAACTCTGCCAAAAAATCATCAAACCATGACCAAATTCCAACTTGACCTGCCCATTCCTTTGAAATATCCATATGTCAAATTTAAGTTTAATATGTAACACTGGATCGGACACGAAGGTCGAACGGACAGACGGACGAAAGCCTATTTTCTATACCCCCCTTTTCTTCGAAAAAGCAGGGACATTAAAACGGAGTGAACTATAACCAGCACAAGAATGGTAAGATAACTATAATCAACGACAAACACAAAAGGGCTGTTGAACAGACTAAATTCAACAAGTCTCTATATGTACAACGTAAATAACAGAGGTGTATCGAGCGAAAAAATACGAGTTGTTCCCCTTATCTTCAAGTAAAATCGATATCCGTTTTTAAACCGCTACTTTTGGGCGATTTAATGTCCGATTTGTTTAACACTATAGGGGTTAAACCTACCACAAGTCAGACTATTTTACATACGCTTTCCAAACACGCAATTCTACTGATAAGAATAGCCTGTCGTCTGCTAAGTTCGGAAACTGTCTATTAAAACAAAAGTAGGATTACAATACTTAACAACAACGCAAAATAGGCGATAACTGTAATCAACACATAAAGGGGGAATAACTATAATCAACAATCAACACACACAAAAGGGGTAAAACTGTAAACATCAGTAAACACAAAAGGGGGATAACTATAAACATCACAAAAAGGGGGATAACTATAATCATCACAAAAAGGGTGATAACTTTAATCATTACAAAAGGGGGAATAACCTAATCAACTTATCAGAAATAAACACAAAAGGTGGAATAACTATTATCTTCTGTAAACGCCAAAGGGGGATAACTATAATCATCACAACAAGGGGGGTAACTACAATCCGCACAAAAAGGGGGATAACTATAATCAACAATAAACACAAACAGTATAATTCAGAAAAATAAGTTTATTCCATTCAAATAAGTACACATTTTAAATAGTACTATTACAGATATATATATTAAGTTCAAATCGCACTTAAAGGGACTCCACTGAGGTTCAAAAGCCTAAAAACATAACATTTGAATTTCTTACATAAATGAGCTTGGGCACTTTAAATAGAAATATATGCAAAGAAACTAAAGAAACATATTTTGAATTAAATTGAAAATCGTATTTTTTACTCTTTTCTTAGCCCGATTTGAGTGAAAAGCTTTTAAACGCTTTTAGTTTTGAGTCAGTTTTTACAATTTGAATAATTATTCTGAAAAAACGAATTGCTCGAATGATCTGAAATTTTGCAAAAAGATTAGTGATATAAACCTTCATCAAATGGTACATTTATCAGGATAAAGTATTTTTCAGTCCCATCATGTCAAAAACCCGCAGTGGAGTCCCTTTAACATAATATTGCCATTCATAAGACACAATTAGTCCATAAACTGCTGTTTTTGTGAAATGGTTTTGCCTTTGCTTTAAATCTAGAACAATCCATTTGAATAGTAAAGGCTCATTATGTCGCAGAAATGCTATCACTTTTATTTCTCAAAAAAGGTTTATTTTTGGTATCTTGTTACAGTTTCTTAAAATATACACATTTACTATATACATAAACTATCTTTTGCATCTTTAGTTGTATTTACAATTACATGTAATATAATTATACTGAATTACCATTTTGCAAAAAGTCAAATTACTACTTTGTTTACATTTTGCTACCTTTTACAACACATAACTTCATGTTCAGTGCTACTTTTTTCAGTTGCAAAACATCTAAATGCTCTTACTGGTAATCCCTTATTTAAACATTATTAAAGGCATGTTTGATAATTCAAAATAAATAAAAATATGGATTTCTGAGACATAATGTGCCTTTAAAATACTGTATTATACAATAGAGTTACAGGCAAACTGCCAAGATGTTCAGAGTGGCCTGGCGGCTCTATACTGCTGGCAAAGGCTATTCACTTTCAGTTCTAACAGGTTACGGTTTAACGACAAAAAATACAGTTCATTACATGAAAATTTTATGGAATATCATAATAAAGGCAAAACAAGTGCATGAATCTTACAACAAACATGATACTGTTGATAAAAAACATGAAATTATGCTGTGAATTCTAGTTGTATCATTCTCCAAGAAACATTCAACACACCACTCACGACCTAGTTTTAAAGACACAAAGAGTTGCTAAACTTCAGATGAGCAAATGTTTAAAGAAAAATACATTAAGTGTGTAATAAATGAATAAATGCTCACAATCAATATATATGTACTTTTAATTGTAACACTTAAAGTACACATGCATTTAGCATTTTCACCACCTTATTTTTACCTTGTTACTGCTGGAACTTCTTGTATATATATCAACATATTATAAGTTAAAATGATGAATGGAAACTGTAAGTGCATTATGCTACCTTAAATTACTTTGTCTACTTAAGAGTTCCTAACAACTTAAGAACATAAAATTTAAAATTCTAACAAAAATAAACTGTCGAACTTTAAATGAACAAATAGGCAAAAGATAAAGAAATATACTCTGTTCATGCTATTTTTACCCCAAATGCATAAAAAGCTCTTAACAATTTTCATTTTTGGGTCATTTTGCACAGTTAAGTTAATCAATGTAGAAAAACAGACAGAGTTTCTTTTCTTTTTTAACGTTTTGTTTTTCATTTTGTTTTATTATTTCCACTTCCGTCATGTTAAAAAACCCGATGTTGTACATTCAAAATCACCTCTTGGTCACAAAGAAAGCTCAAATCCAACCATCAATCCATTCATCCACATATAAAATCAATTCATTTATCAATGTTGACATTAAGAATTAAAGGGAGGTAATACAAAAGAGATCTTTTTATCATTATTCTATCACAATTCTTCTTTTTCTTTCTGTATATCATCAATTACTGTGTCAGCTGGAATGCTCCCTGAAACAAGGTAAGAAAACCTAAGTTAGCAAATAGTCTTTTCCTTATCATCAATGTTATTAACTTCACTGTCAATATTAACATTGAAGAGACATGCCTTTAAGATATTCAATTTAATAAACTTCACTTTCAAGAGACATACCTTGGTGACCTTTTAGATAAACGGATGTTTTAATAAATTTCACTTTCAAAAAATAAAAAAAAATAAAAAACATACCTGCATTGTCTTTAGACAATCAATGTCATGAACTTCACTTTAAATATTAAAATAAAAGAGACATACCTGTTTTGCCCTTTTGATAATCATTGCTAAAATAAACTTCACTTTAAATATTAAAATTAAAGAGACATACCTGCATTATCTTTTAAACAATCAATGTCATGAACTTCACTTTAAATAACAAAATTAAAGAGACATACCTGCAATGCCCTTTAGATAATCATTGTTAAAATAAACTTCACTTAAACATTGAAATTAAAGAGACATACCTGCTTTGCCCTTTAGATAATCATTGTTAAAATAAACTTCACTTAAACATTGAAATTAAAGAGACATACCTGCTTTGCCCTTTAGATAATCATTGTTAAAATAAACTTAACTTAAACATTGAAATTAAAGAGACATACCTGCTTTGCCCTTTAGATAATCATCGTTAAAAAAAACTTCACTTTAAATATTAACATTAAAGAGACATACCTGTTTTGCCCTTTAGATAATTATTGTTAAAATAAACTTCACTTTAAATTTCAAAATTAAAGAGACATACCCGCTTTGACCCCTTAGATAATCAACGTTATAAACTTCACTTTTTATAAAGTTACAAGTAACATTTGTGTTGTCTTTTACATAATCACCTTAATAAACTACACTTTCAATAAAACTACACCATTTAACAGGCATACCTGCATTGTCTTTTAGGTAATCAATGTCATGAACTTCACTTTAAATATCAAAATCAAAGAGACATACCTGCGTTGTCTTTTAGGCAATCAATGTCATGAACTTCACTTTAAATATCAAAATCAAGGAGACATACCTGCGTTGTCTTTTAGGCAATCAATGTTATGAACTTCACTTTAAATATCAAAATCAAGGAGACATACCTGCGTTGTCTTTTAGGCAATCAATGTCATGAACTTCACTTTAAATATCAAAATCAAGGAGACATACCTGCGTTGTCTTTTAGGTAATCAATGTTATGAACTTCACTTAAAATATCAAAATCAAGGAGACATACCTGCGTTGTCTTTTAGGCAATCAATGTCATGAACTTCACTTTAAATATCAAAATCAAGGAGACATACCTACGTTGTCTTTTAGGCAATCAATGTCATGAACTTCACTTTAAATATCAAAATCAAGGAGACATACCTGCGTTGTCTTTTAGGCAATCAATGTCATGAACTTCACTTTAAATATCAAAATCAAGGAGACATACCAGCGTTGTCTTTTAGGCAATCAATGTCATGAACTTCACTTTAAATATCAAAATCAAGGAGACATACCTGAAGTGCCCTTTAGATAATCATTGTTAAAATGAACTTTACGTTAAATATCAAAATCAAGGAGACATACCTGCGTTGTCTTTTAGGTAATCATTCACAAGCTCATCGTCATCAGTATCTGTAGACTTGTTCTCATCTGTTTTATTATCGTCCTCCTCTGCCTCCTTCATTAGTTCATCCATTCCATCAAACTCTGTTTTAGGCATCGGAATCTGTAAATCACCCTCGGTACATTTACCTAAAAATAGAAGATATTCAAATTTTAAAGGGATTCAACTGAAATTTTTTTGACAGGTGGGGACTGAAAATATTTTTCCTAGATTTGTGTACCAATTGATTAAGGTCTTATCCAATAACTTGTGTGCAGATTTTCAGCCCGTTTCCTCATCCTGTTTTTCCAGAATAATCATTTTTATTGTGAAAAATAGCCTAAAAAGTAGCTTACCTGCCAGATCTTTACATATCAGTTCCTCCTCATTCTGATCTTCTTCATTTCTAAATATTTCTATAATTTCATCTTCATATTCTTCTAATAAAGTCTCACACTGAAATTGTTATACAATTAACATATCAGACAATAATCACAAACAAGCCTTGTTTAATATATCCTTTATAATATTACCTCATGTTTGCATCATCTGAGTGGTACACAAATAAGCCGCGTCACAACAAAACCAACATAATGGGTTTGCTACCAGCATGGATCCAGACCAGCCTGCGCATCCTTGCAGTATGATCAGGATCCATGCTGTTCGCTTACAAACCCTATTACAAGTAGAGAAACTGATAGCGAACAGTATGGATCCTGATCAGACTGCACGGATTCACAGGCTGGTCTGGATCCATGCTGGTCGCAAACGCACAATGTTGGTTTTGTTGTGATGCGGCTCAAATCATAAAATGGCTTGATATCAAATATTGAGTTGAACTGAATTAAAGCATACAAGAAATATGAATGTATATTTCCTTCAGAGGCAAAATGGTGCATGCATCAACAATTAAACCCCTACTTAAAATAGCAGAATGATATTTTGTTCCACAACATACAAACATACATTGTATATGTACAAACTACAATATTTACGTGTGTTAGATATAAGAGATATTTTTTGTTACAACTATTTCGAGGATTGTCCACAGGCTTATGGAATCAATATACATGTAGTTTTACTCTTTTTTTTTTTTTAGATTTTATGAACTATTTCATTATATTAAGAAAATTGAAATAGAAAATTTTCATATCAGATCTGATTATCGTTAGTTAAGTACTACAATGAATGTGTGAAAAATCAAAATGGATATAATTATACAAACTAGTCAAAGGGAAGTAACTATATAATATCATGAGTTGTCTACCTTGTTATAAACATTGACACCAATACTTACATTAAATTTAAGCTCTTTTTGTATATCTGCACTTATTTTGATGTCTTTCAGAGCCAGAGTTTTACCATCTCTTGCCTTTGTTCGTCCTAAACTTCTTTTACCAGCATCATTATTGGTCTCAGCATAATCTTTGAAACTATCACATAAATTTTCAAATATCTCTAATAAGTGCACTTCTGATCTTGCATATGATTTCTGGAGAAAAAAAAATGGAAAGACTAAATTTATGTTGACAATAATTTGAAATATTTTCTAAACTTAAACCCAAAAAGTTTTACCACATTAACATTATATCAGGTGCTAGGGACATAACAATATTTTTACAAATTTTATTTTAAATAATATTTTACAATAGATTTGATTATTTATTTGCTTGATATTCGTTTCAGTTGATAACAGTATTTTGGACATATACCAGAAAGAAAAAGTACATAGCTTTTTCCTGAACTCAGTCTCAAATTTTCTGCCTTGATTTTTTTCATTGGCCAGTGTACATTCTGTGCTGATTTCCAATAAATAAAATACCTGACATTTCAGTTTGAGCTGAGAAAATTTCTTTATAACCTCAGCCAATGTTTCAAAAAGGAAAGGCAGGAATTTCTTTATCCATTTATATTTCTAATAATTACTATACTGTCAAATCTGTGGACAAAATCCATCCGATGGTGAGACCGACCATGGTCTTAACAGACAAGTGGCCTTTATTTGGAGTTAAGTGAGCAGACAAAAATTATTAACTTACTTGATATGTAGCTTGATTACCCTTAGAATCCACCCTAAAGCTTCCCACTTGGATCTTTCTCTTAGGATCAATCTTACTAATACTGTAATTAACCTCGTCTACAACAGCTCGGCAAACTAGCAGTAAAATAAAACACAATTCTATGAAAGTAACATTTTTAAGTAATAAAAAAATTGTTTCTGATCTTTTACACTAAAAAATCCGGGTTGAGAGGTCAAAGAAATGTCTTTATAATTGTGTTTTCTAATGTACTTTTAAAACTATATATTTATAATTCAGCTTTTGGCATCTCAATTTTCGCCAATTGGCATGAACATGTTATGGTTATGACAAATGGGACTTTTCAGTGAGTATAATGCCACCCCACCACCACCCTCTACAATATGCATTGCCTCTTGTTGAAATTTTGTGACAACCTTTGGCAAAAAAAAACGTTGACCGAAATTCTTCTGTAGACAGGTGATGGGATTACAAATGACTGTTGCATTTGTAATGATTACAACATAACAACTTGAAATAACCTCACCTGCACATGACATATCTTTATCCAGTCCTAGTGACAGTTTTATTACCATCAACATATTCAGGGCATGGAGCCAGAATGTAAAATCCATTTTCTTTACACTGAAAGTGAATATCAAAACAATAATGAGAACTCATACAGAAATGTCTTGATTTGGCATAACAAATCGAGAATAAAAGACACTATCCGATATTCGAGACTTATCCGAACTCTATGTCACTACATAAACAATTAAATTTTTATCTTTCATTTTGGTCATTATGGCAGCTATTGGTTTGAATATTGAAGCAGATTTTTAAACACATCATTACATTTATTGTTAGTGAGAAAATAACATTTTACCTTTAATTTCTTGTGTAAATTTTAAAAATGCTTGAGATTCGGCTTTGTAGGCACGCCACCACTAAATCTTACACCGGAAACTAAATTATATGACGTGTAAATTCCCGATTTGCTCCGAGCCCAAGGTGGCGTTCATGCATGTATTGGCCTGTCTCTCCATAGAGAGTCTTGCACGTAATTCACGAGACTATAACTTTAAGGACGTTTACAGACTATGTCATTCCATTATATTACAGGTAAAATATGATGGCCTGTTTAAAAACATAATTTTATTCATTTTTCATTCAAATTAGACATACATGTATGTATTCAGTAAGAAATTCATAGATTTCAAATTTCTGCGAATAAAATATTTTACTCAATGCTAGTGTATATCTTTAAGTTTTTATTTGTATGTGTTTTTTCGTTTAATTTGTTCCTGTTCCGTATAGTTAAGCCTTTCTTATATGTATCGTTGATGTCTGTTTGTTCTTTTGTATCCGTTGATGGCATATTGTGTCTTTGTCGTGTCTTACTGTCCTTTCCTGTTCCGTTAAGTCAAGTCTTCTCTTGTCTGTTTCGTTTGTGTCCTTGTTCTTGTGTCTGTGTCGTTGATGGCCTTGTTCTCTTGTCTGTATCGTCGATGGTCTTGTTTTCTTGTCTGTATCGTTGATGTTCTTGTTCTCTTGTCTGTATCGTTGATGTCAATGTGTTGTTTGTCTGTATAGTTAATGGCCTTAATTGTGTCTTTTTTCTGTATCGTTGGTTTCTTGTCTGTATCGTTGATGTCCTTGTGTCTTTTGTCTGTATCGTTGTTGCCATAATAGATTGTTCTCTTGTCTGTATCATTGATATCCTTGTTGTCTTGTCTGTATCATTGATGGCCTAGTTGTCTTGTCTGTATCGTTGATGTCCTTTTTCTCTTGTCTGTATCGTTGATGGTCTTGTTCACTTGTCTGTATCGTCGATGGTCTTGTTCACTTGTCTGTATCGTTGATGTTCTTGTTTTCTTGTCTGTATCGTTGATGTCCTTGTTCTCTTGTCTGTATCGTTCATGTCCTTGTTCACTTGTCTGTATCGTTGATGTCCTTGTTCTCTTGGCAGTATCGTTGATGTCCTTATTCTCTTGTCTGTATCGTTGATGTCATTGTTCTCTCGACTGTATCGTTGATGGTCTAGTTCTCTCGACTGTATCGTTGATGGTCTAGTTCTCTCGACTGCATCGTTGATGGTCTTGTTCTCTTGTCTGTATCGTTGATGTCCTTGTTTTCTTGTCTGTATCGTTGATGTCCTTGTTCTCTTGTCTGTATCGTTGATGTCCTTGTTCTCTTGTCTGTATCGTTGATGTCCTTGTTTTCTTGTCTGTATCGCTGATGTCCTTGTTTTCTTGTCTGTATCGTTGATGTCCTTGTTTTCTTGTCTGTATCGTTGATGTCCTTGTTCTCTTGTCAGTATCGCTGATGTCCTTGTTCTCTTGTCAGTATCGCTGATGTCCTTGTTCTCTTGTCAGTATCGCTGATGTCTTCCTTTTAAATCTGATCCGTTTTGATTCTTGTCGTAGAGTTCTATGTTCTTGTTACTGCCTTTCTTTCCTGTTCCGTTAAGTTAAGTCTTCTGTTCTTGTTTAGTCAGTCTCGTAGTCATTTCGTTCTTTCAGTGGAGTAGCGAAGGATCGAACTCACGACCCCTTGATTGGTAAGCAGACAGTGTTGCCACTGCACCATTGCGCCCGCTCTGAATAATAACTGTTTTTGAAAGTCCTATATACATGATTACCGGAATTCTTAGATATAGCAGATGGTGTGATAATCTTATTGTAGAGTTTTCCTAAAACCGAGACTGAATTCCGAAATTTTCAAGAGTTGCTATGGTACCAATCTCCCGATTTCAAGCATTTAAAGCAAATAAACAGGCTATTTTGCAAATTGAAAAGTTTTAAGGTCCATGAGAAACTTGTAATTGAATTCATTTGATGATAAAAGAAAATGATATGGCAATACAGATCAAAGCGCTGAAAGCACTGAATGCGACACGGCTTTTATAACACAAATTCATCGCGTCATATTTAATTAGTGTCTTTTTCATCTCTGCAGTTCTGTTATTTGAAGGTCCCCTGAAGGTGCTATATTTTATGCTACAATAAGTATTCAAATTAATTTTAGAAAAACTAAAATAGTTTAGAAAAATGCAAAATCTTATTTTGCCAATAAAGTAATTTAAAGATCCTGCACGAAAGACATTTAACCGATTCACCAAACCGTCTTGTAACAGACTAAAAATACGTCATGCAATTTAAAATGACAAACATGTAACGTATAGATTTCCTCTCAATTGCCATTTTACTATTACATGTATTTCTAACAATTTTAACGTATTTGCTAAATTACTCTATTAAACAGTCTTTCGGATGAGACAATAAATCGAGGTCCCGTGCATGAATTGTATTACATTGTTGTTTTATATGAGGTAAATTTGTGTGCAAAATTTCAAATAATTCGCTCACTTCGTTTTTCCAGAGTAATTATTCATGAAAAACGCTTTTCACTCAAATCGGGTAAAGAATAGCACAAAAATACGAGTTTTCATTTATTTCTGACTTTACTTCTTGATTTTCTTTTACACATCATTCTGTTTCAGTGGCCCAGCAGATATATATAAGAATTTCAAATATTTTAGACCTCAGTCGAGTTAGTTAAAATTACCTAAGCATATATTGACTCAATTTGAGTAGCAATCGCCCCCAGATACAATCGGATTATTGTCAGCTATTTTCTCAATCGCATTTACTCGGCCTTTCCGCCAATCTTGGGTATAGATAATAGCCGAGGCAGTTCCGAATGCTATTTTCTATGTTTTCCTAATCCGAAGGCTGACGGAAATGGCCGAAAAGTTGCGTTTGACTTCAGATGAAGACTGATATCCGAGATGTTCCGATTGTTCGAGTAAAGCAGTAACATTCTTTATCGAAGTGTTAATATCCCTGATTTTCAGGTTTATATTTTCATATCAATTCAATAACAACCCATAAGTGCACATGTCATTTGCACATCTTTTTGTTTTTTACTGTGTAACAAAACTTTTTTTTCTAAGTTTTCGGTTTCTTTGTTATGTTAACTTCACCGTAACGCATGTTGATCGCAACATTTCGACCCTTTCAGTCATTCTTAGGATATTAATGTGAATAATCGTAGAGGTGTCCCGACTATAAAACATGTTGACCAATTAATAAGTGATATTTTCTTTCAATGACGGTCTTTCTACCTATTGACGTCATGGATCTAACGTCATTAGACGTGTTAATTGACTTCCCTCGTTTTAAATATAGCTAATAGTAATATTTACCAAAAGCGTGTTTAAGATTCAGTGCTTTAACTAGTTTAAACATAGTTTATTGCAGCACAAAAATGTAAAATATTATACAAATGATGAGTATATAACGAAAACAAATAGGTTGGGCAACAAGTTCTAGCAACATCAGATTAAGCCTTTCCCAGAAAAAAATTAAACTAAGTTATAATTCCTGATATTTCACTAAAATAATATCATCACAAATAAACCATAAACTCACTTATTCTAGTAACTGGCATAACACTATTCAAAACAATTTTTTAACTAGATTCTATCATGCAATCAAAGTAAAACGCATCATTTGGGAAAAAAGAATAGATCGCGAGATATACTGTTCTATGTCTATCGAACGCTTGTTTGTTGTTTTCATGAGTGAGTCATCTTGTTTTCTATGATAACATTTACTTAATTGTTAGCTAGAACTGTTTATTTGTTATTGACGTTGTCACTATTTTAAGTGAATTGTTTCTCCAATAAATCCAATGACGTCATTTGTGTTTTCAGCAGACTTTATCAATCGCAACTTTTCGGCCCTTTCCGTCCTTAGGGTCAATCGGAACGTCCTCGGCTATTATCTATAAATACTTAAAAAGTCCTTAAAGGGTCGAATAATAGCCCAAGGCATAAGCATTCTTACTATAAATCATATTATCCAATTGTGATTTTTTTTCCGTCTAAGACCGCCAGAAATAACATTTAAAGAGGTTTCTATTTTATTTTTCCCATAAAAATAAGATGATTTAGGTGTACTTTTACATGACTTGCGTAATGCTTGATATATTTGTTTCTGAGTTGTAAACACAATTATCGAAGAAATAATAACACATTAAAAATTCCACACATTTTGTTGTATAGACGTAAATGTACGACATCAATTAGTCTGGGAAAAGATCATGCAGTTATTTCAGAATTAGACTTCAATTTGATTTGTACGTTTAGTGCTTTACAGTGACAGAACATTTTTTTTACATAGTAAATCATATAAAAACCATAAGAAACGTTTTTTTATCTTTGCTCTTTTAAAAAGAATCATTTGAAATCGGTCTTTTTTCAGATTATTGCCGTTTCCGAAGTAGACGTATATTTTCAATTTGATATGTAAATAGGGTGTTCCCGCATGTGTACGTACTAACCTCAACAACAAAATCAATCAATCAATGGTAGTGATTTGTTCAACAGAAAACTTTCTAAGATTATGTTTTTAAAGTAAATTAGTCCATAAATGTAGTCTGTAATTCCACAAATAATTATGTTGATAGCAATGAGTATCACATGTGATTAAACAACAACAACGCGAAATAATTATATATCGATGTTGGTGGCAAATGTAGGATACATGATACGATTCTACATTAATATTTATATAGCAGATAGAACACAATGATATTCATTGATCATCATATAAATATTTATACTTAACCATTTAGAACTTTATAAACTTTTTTTAAGAAATATTTCATGAGAATATTAAATGAGACTATACATTTCTTTTGTTTTATCAATATTTGAAATACTGTGTGCTAATTATATTTGTGGACCAATTCACTTTAAAGGGATACTCAAACAAAAATATCAAAATGATCTTATGTACTCAAATCACGTTAAAATGACATTTTTAAAACCCAGCATGAATTTCATTATAAATTCTATATATTTTGGGTTTGAAGCGTAAAAATATCTATATATGTTGAACGAAATTTAGATGCCAACAGAATCACCGAGTAGTTTTAAAACAAGTCATGTGACTTTAACAAACCCTTGAATTTACAATAAATTGCATGAT